ATCACTCATTACGAGCGTTATTTATTCACGACGGGACGTTATCGCCGACGGTGGCGTTTATTTGCGGAAGGAAAAGGAAGCTATTTTCCGATGGACACCGCGGGGATAATTAAGCGCGCAGGGGGCACAACATCGGACCATGAAATATTCGACGCGGTAATCGGACGCGTCGATTAGCCGCGCGCGAATTTTCATTTCGTACATTCGTTAATTAAAAAATTCATCGCAGAGCGGCGGTTTTTTCAGTTTGATGTATGGGCTACTTGTTGCGCGTCTATCTACGATCACCAATTAGCCTAATGATTTCTCAATTAACCGTCCAATTCGGGACTGAGCGCCGGACTCGCAGACGGATATTTTTCTACCGCGAATCAAACGTCTGCGCACGAGGATAATTATACGCGCGATTTTTCGCTCGATTCAAGAAACGAGAAATAGACAGACAGACAGACAGAGAGAGAGAGAGAGAGAGAGAGAGAGAGAGAGAGAGAGAGAGAGAGAGAGCCGATCGATCCGATCACGGACGATATAACTTTAAATACAGAACACTGCAATCGCGCGCTCGATATCGGCGCCGTGGAAATTCATTATCCTACGGCGCACGACTCGCAGGTTGCACGAGGCACGAAGAGAGAAGGTACCTGCGTTTGATGTGGGCTTTATTGCGAGAACGATAAACGTCCATCGTGATTCAGAACCGATATGTCGGGGGTACGCTATTACGGAGCAACCGCGCGCGCGCTCGCGCGTTGAGCTTGCACGCCGATGGCGAAGGGAGAGAGAACGGCTTAATGGATGAAACAAAGCGCGGCGCGCCGTTATAGGAAGTTATTATATCCAGCCAACCCCCCTCCCCCGTCTGCCCCCTCCCCTTCGCCCCGCTGCCCTTCGCTTTCATCCCTTCTGCACGTATATATTTAGCACACGAGACCAACTGGCGCAATCGTGACCGTCGGCGATACACTCGATTTGGCATCCAGCCACTGTGTGTTTTCCCACGCGCGCGATGACGTCGCAAGGTTGCGTTATCTAACGCGCAATACCGTACGCGCGCCGCGCTGCGCCGCGCCGCACCGCTGCCGCGCGCGGCGGCGATACCTTTTGTTTCCGTCGGTGCGCCGCGCGCGCGCGTTTTACGTCACGCTTAACATTGTTCCGCGTCAACGACCCGGGAGGTACGATGTCACGTTCGTCAGAGCGTCGAGAGTGCGGGGACTTTGACGGAGACACGCGAGGCAGCGGCGTTGAGGCGATCTCGCGAGAGAGACGACTCCGTTTATCCGACAGAGACGCGGCCGGAGAGCTTCGCCCCGATGAGCTCTCCCCCGCGATGTCAAGTCTAAGCAACGGATACACGTATTTGCGGCCGTCGGGGAGTAAATGGGTAAGGAATAATCAATCGGATGTACACGTAGAATGCGCGCGGCTGTGCGTAATCGATGGAAATGGAAATCGAGTATTAAAGCCATGGCGCGTCGCGCGTCTCGCATCCCGCACGGCGCGTTAACTGTCGGAACGTGCAATTTTCCAGACTCGCGGTAGAATCAAACTCTCTCTCTCTCTCTTTCCCCTTTCTCATCGAATAAGAAACAAACGAGAGACAAGAGGCTTCGCGAATCGCGAAGGCGCGTGCGACGCGAGTATGCACAGCTCGCCGAGAAAACGGCGAAGACGGAAGGCGCGGGATATCGCGTGCTTCACGCGCGGGAAAGCCGCTGCGATCGCACCTCCTAGCTTGGCAACAACGCGCAGCTTGCTGCAACTGCATCGTGTATCCTGCGCTGCTGCACTTTACTGCATCGCGCTAGGCAACATCGCAACAGCCGTTGGGCGGCGGTGCACGTGTGGTGATCGTTGCGTGCGCGTGTAAGTGAATGTGTCGTCGCGCCCGTCACAGGGACTGCGTAGGAACGGCAGGAGGACGGGAGGAGGAGGAGGAGGAGGAGAGGGAGGAGGAGGAGAGTCGAGCTCGAAAGTAGGAGGGAGGGATCGCTTGGGCGAAGGATGAAAGGGGGATACCGCGGCTGACGGAGGTGATGGCGAGAGAGAGAGAGAGAGAGAGAGAGAAGTAGGGGGAAAGCGTCTGCGAGCGAACGAGCGAAATGAGCGCGAGATGATGGGATCCTTACGCGCGACAATGGCACGCAGGGATGAAAGGACGACTTCTCCCTCCCTCCCCCGACCGCCCCCACACACCTGGTTGCGCTCGCGAATCAGGTGCTCGCGCGCGCCGTCAAGGCTGCCGGCCGCCGCGCGGTGGAACTGTTCTCGCGGCGTTTTCAGCGGAAAACCCGTCGCACGTGCTTTCGCTCTAATTAGTCGCGCGCGCGCGCGCGTTTGTAGTCGCAGTATTTTACCTGGCGGCTTTTCCAGCGGCGCTCGCGGGCGGCACGCGTGTCGCGACTGATGGGCGATCAACTTCCGGCGTGGGTGAGGTGGAGTGGGATGTCAGGTGGGATTTACTTTGTCCGTTAAAGGACATTTAAACGCGCATTTAACGATGACGTGGATGTCCGCCGCGACATTCGCGTCGAGTTGTGCTTCCTGCGAATTCTTGGTCTTTCCGATCGATGCGACGCGTCTCCTGTGCGCCGCACATCGCCAAGCCCACGGTTCTCTTTGAGACTCTCTGATGAATCGCGTGGTGTCGCGCTGAGCGAATGTGTGTCCGAGGACTTCCTCCGCGTTCGCCGTTGTGATTATTTTCGCTGGCGCTGCTGTTTGAAACTCCGAGCACTTTCGCGCATTGCGAAAGACCCGAATAGAGACCGGGGGGTTTGATTTGGGTCATGACCCACATTTTGCAGTCCCCTCCGCGCGCAACGTTCTCCTCCCCTCCTCTCTTTTCACTCTTATCTTCGTCTATCTGTCTCCATCTGCCCGTAATGCTCGCTCGCGTTAGCTCGACGTTATACATTATAGCGATCGCGTGCGAGCATCTTACGTATACGTCGTATTTAACGAGCGCTACACATACCGGAATATAAATGATTATCGCTTCGATTTACGATGTTTATCTACGTTCGTTATCAACGCGCAGTCGTCGCGCGGCCGAATTTAGTATCCTTTCGCACAACGTTAATATCCAATGTGGTATAACGCGGAAACTCGCGAAGCGTAGAAGCGCTGCCGAATCGCGGAGATCGGCGTGTAAATTACGGCAACGCGGTGTAAATTATTAAATTTATTTCCTATCTTCCGGCACCTTTCAAACGACACTGCATTCTTTATCTTCGTGCGTCAATTTTACCGGAAGCTCTTGCTCAACGGATCTTGCGAGATCTTGCTCTTGTGCTACGTCGAAACGTCAATTATATCGTTTGCGTTTTCGCAAAGTTTCCAACGCTTTCGAGAAGTGAGAAGCCACACGAACTTGGCAAAGTTTCGCCGCGTCGCACTGGATGTATCCGCGGATGCACGTACTACGTGTTCGCCAAACTTATTCGGCAGCCACTTTGCCGCACAAAGGCTATTGCGATCGTCGCGAATTACAGCTTTCAGGACAAGGACGCCAGGCGTTTGTCTTCGCGGAAAATCAATTTCGGGGGCGCTTGCCGCGAGCGTAGAAACGAGTTTACCGTGGCGATGAGAATACCTGAAGGAACGACCAGCCCCTATATCGTCACTTGCTCTTACGCGAACGAAAGAGACACGACCGCGAACCGACGTGCGCTCGCGCGCCTCCCTGTCGAGGCACGCATATTTTATTCCGTTCTCTCCTACACGTCGTCGTCGTCTCCTCTCCCGTACACCGTCACGGAAACGGCGCCGTGAAAATCTCGAAATTGCTCACTGCCGCGACGGTCGCTTTAAAATTATAAAGCGCCGTGAGTATAAAGTTCCTGCTGCTCCTACTGGCGCGCGCGCACCGACGGATGTTGACTCGGTTAACATTACATCGCCGGGAAAAATGGCGAACCCGGCGAACACTACGCTCGGCGAACTCGCCGACTATTTCGATGCGACGAGTTTCGCGAATTTTTACGACCGCCGGGGCCGGTCGCTCGAGAGAGAGGGGGGGGAGAGAGAGAGAGAGCGCATCCATCTGGCGCGTCTACTGACTAGTCTACCGCGCGCTCCCGATAATAACGTTACCGTCGTGCATTAAAGATCAGACACGGTAGCAACGTCGCGTCCGCGATTGACCGATCGGACGGCGAGATTAGACCGGCAAATTCCAACGGCCGAGACGACAACCCCGACATTTGAATACCGAGGTAACGAGGCATTTATGCACGCCGAATATCCCAGGTCGCTTCAATTTCAGATGAAATAATCGCCCGGCGCGCGCACACGTGGTACCCCGTAATCGCTCAGATCGCCGTAGATAGCGCGAGGATACCTGTTATTCGGCTCCGAGTTCTTTTCTCTAAAATACCACACGTGCGTCGGACTTATTATAGCCCACGCGTGCTCTTCTTATAAACACTAAGTATACAGCCCCTGAACTCTCTCTCTCTCTCTCTCTCTCTCTCTCTCTCTCTCTCTCTCTCTCTCTCGGCCACAGAGACGCAACCGTCTCCTTCGCAGGCCTACATTCTCCCAAGAGGAGAGAGACGAGAGAGTCGCGATTGCGCGATGCGGCGATCGACTCATCGCCGCTGCCGACCTCTCGTTATCGCGAGGTTGCGTGCGGATTTGGCGTAACGAGTAAATAGCGATAACTTACCGGTACGCCGGAAACTTTCGCGCGACCGTGGTCGAGCGGCTGGATGCGCGACGAAGGATGGGCGTGGGGAAGGGGGGAGAGAGAGCGAGAGAGAGAGAGAGAGAGAGAGAGAGATTCGCGACGCGCGCTAGCAGGGATAGACGTAAGAGTGCGGGAGGTCGAGCGTTACGTTGTGTGTTGAGCTTGTACGGACCACGAGAGGGGCGTAGGGAGGGCAGAAACGCAAACGCGAACGGGAACGGGAGAAGGGCCGCGCAGCGACGGGAGGGAGAGGCGGCGAGGGATGGGAGAGCGCGTTATCGGCGAGCGCCTCGGCTCGACCGAGTCGGCCGCCGTCGGCCACGATCAGCAGAGCGCCAGTTCGTATCGGACCTCCGTCGTAGTCGGATCGTAACGTTCTGTCGCGCTGTGCTCCGTTTTCTCTCTCTTCTCTTCTCTCTCTTCTCTCTCTCTCTCTCTCTCTCTCTCCCCCTCCTCCCTCTCTCTCTTTTTCTCTATCTTCTCTTCCTCTGTCTCTTTTACCTTTCTCTCTCCGTCTTCCCCCCTCGCTCCCGTCCAGATCCCTCCCTCCCGTCACCCCCGCAGTCCGACCGCCCGCTCCCCATCAACGACCACCGAGTTCCGCCCAGCGGGAAGCGCCGAGCTTTTCCCCGAACAAGGCGCGTCCTCTCCCTCATCGGTGTTTCACCGTGTGTACGCGCTCGTGTGTGAAGTGTACTTCGCCGATCGAAAGGTGCGAGCAAAGTGACGGAAGGATCTCTCGGTTCGCCCCCCGCAGGGAAACGCGTGCGTGCGTGCGTGCGTGCGTGCGTATGTGTGTGCGTCGTTCTTTTTCCGTCGCGTGCGCGTGTCATCCGCGCGGGGATACGAAGCGCGGGAGGGAAAGTCGGCTGTTCGTCGCCTTTGTTTGGACTCGGGATCGACTCCGTCGATTAGTCGCGATGCGCGCGCGCGCCGATTTTCTCGCGGAATATTTCGCGTAGCGGAATGCACGCGCGCGCTCTCTCCTCCTCTTCTTTCTCTGCTATAGTGCAGCGAGTCGCGTTCACGGTAGTGAATCCTCGGTTCTTCTCGTGGCCGCGGCAATTCGCAGCGAACGTCGCTGCGTTCCGCGCGATAAGCGCGACTCGGCGACATAAAGCTGACTCGGCGCGTCCTTATGGAGAGATTATTGCCGCTCGCCGTGACTCGGCTTGTTTCGACGAAAGCGCGCGAAATGAGAATCATCGCGCGAGCGTGTCGGCCGCTTCGGTTGTGTTCGCATGTGCCGTCTACTCCTCTTCTTCCTCCTACTCGTGGTCTTCGTCGTCGTTGTCGTCGTCGGTTGTTCGTACGTCTCGGTTGTTCGCGCGTCGTCGATCAATCGTCGAGCAAGTTCCACGTGACAGGAAACGTCACGGGTGTAATCTTGACGAGTCATCGGCGACTTAAAGATCTCGTCGCTCCTTTCCACGTGATCGGCCGAAATTCGACGAGTTTGTCAACGAGGGTCTGTCGGTGCGATCCGGTTCGTGTGCGACGCCACTCGGGGCTAAGGCCCTCGCTCTGTCGCGTCTGGGAAAGAACGTCTCATATCTGATGCGCAAACAATGCATCAACACGTCGGCGCCGTGAGTCATCGATGATCTCCGACAAGGTCATCTATGACGTGTACCGAAACTTTCGTTCCCGAAAGTCTGAGCAGGTTCTATCGCGACGCGCAACGCGCCTCTGCGACATTTCGACAGCGAATAGCGACTTCACGTTAAACAATCGTTAAAAAAAAAAAAAAACGCGTCCTCACATACATCATCGAGTCTGTCAATAACGAGACTGCAGCCCACCGATCAGTTTTTCTGTCCGTCCGTTGGACGTGAAGCCGCATGATCGAATGTGTCGTTCACAGTTTCGGCGACGCCAAGTACGAACGCACTCACGCACGCACTTGTTTTACGTAACGAAAACGCGTCGGGAGAACGTTCGCTCGCTCGCTCGCTCGCTCGCTCGCTCACTCGCGCGCGCGCGCGCGCGCGTGCGCTGCGTGTAATCTATCCGTCGTCGGGGCCTCGCGTCGCTCCGCGCTCGGCGGGGTGTACGGCGTAGGGGAAGGGGAGAGCTCTTCGATCATCGGCATTACTGGCCTCCCTCGTGCGTCCTCGTGTCTCGTCGGATCGGCGCGGCGGCCGATCGGCTGGTTCCGTACGCCGCCGCCGTCGTCGCCGCCGCCACCGCCGCCGCCGCCACCCGCCGCCGCCGCCGCCCGCCGCCACCGCCGCCGCCGCCAGTCTTGCTCCAGCTCGCGCGCGTTACGAATCTTCGCGCTCCGATCCGCCACCGCGGCAGGAATCGGCGATAGTATAGCGGCCCGTAACATAGAAGAGATCCATCCCACTTACTTACCTGTCTGTCTACCCGCCCGCCCGCCCGCCCGCTTGCTGTCTGCCTGCCCACCTATCTACCTACGACGTATTTTTTGTGCTTTCCAGCGAGAAGAATAGCGACGTATGATCGGCTCCGCGGGGCCGCCGGCTGTTCCCGTCGTTCCCCGTCGCATCGGTGTACGTCGTACGTACTTCGTACCTCTCTCGTCGTCTACGTCGGCAGTGCGCGCCTTGGATACGCGTCACGCATGCACGCATGGACAAGCAACGACGACGACGACGACGCGGCACTGCCCAATGATGGCCGTGCCGGGCATCACCGTTGACGTAGTGATGTATTATTAGTGGTGCGCGTCGCGGGAAAGTGTGTGCCGCCTCTCTCGCCGCGCTCTCGCCGTGCTCTCGCTTCTGTCTCTTGCGCGTGTAATCTCGCGTCCGCCGTGTCTCGCGAACGGTGCGCGGCCGATAAATCACGCGGAGAGTGTGCCCTCGTAGCCGGGGAATCAGTGATCGTAAAGCGAAGGGAAGGCACGATACGTTACACGTATTTCGGCCCCATCTCTCTCGTGTGTGCGCGTGAGTGAGAGTTTCATATCAGTGCAACGACGGTTTTACGGTTCTCTCTCTCTCTCGCTCTGTGGATTATCATATTGGATATTACTGGTACGCGCCTGCCTGCCTGCCTGCCTGCCTGCCTGCTTGCTTGCCGACGACGACGACGACGACGACGACGACGACGACGACGACGTTGCAGCCACGGCCCACGTCCGAGACCGGCCACCACGAGTGATCGAGATCAGCTACGCACCGGTTCCAGCGTCCAGATTCCGGTGAGTAGTGCTTTTGTATCTGCGTGTGCGTGTACGCATCCTCCTCGCGGTTTCGCCCGGTTTCCGCCGACTGCGAAATCGATGCGAGATCCGAAATCGCGCGACACCGTCGCGCGCCGCCGCGCTTATCGCTCTCGATCGGCTGCCATCTTGTTATTTGTTGTCGCGAGACTTCGCGAGTGTGCTTACGACGCGAAAACGCGAAAGCGTCCGCTCTCGCGTTCCACGGGACGGATGTCACTTCCGCATCGCGCGAGCGCGACCTCGATAACGTCGTTTCGATAACCGGCGCGCGCGGAACGGGCCCTCCCTCCCGCCCCCTGCTGTCGGTGCCGAAAAAGAAGCCCCTGTGAAATACTCCGCGTGGCAAAAGCTTGACGTTTGTTTACGAAGCGTGAAATTATCCATCGCGCGCGCTCACTCCGTTGATTCGTCGCTCCCCGCGAGCGAGGTGGGAACAATCGGAGCCGCTGGACGCTGCCGAGCCGCGAGGCGTAAGTGACGCGCCGAGGCGACGTTTCGCTCTTTCAACGTCGCGCGGAGATTAAACCATTTAAATATCGGGAGAACGGCAACGGTGACAGTGCAGCTTCGCGAGTGTTGTTTGTTTACCGCGGTTCCGCTGGAAACGACCGTGCGACGGACAAGAATGAGGACTCGGTTTTTTAACCTTCACGTGTACTCGCGACGCGACGCGACGCGACGCGACGCGTGCTGCGGACGAAATAAAAGCTCGCGACGGTCGTGTAAACATGCCCGAGTGTGTGCACCGGTGCACGAACGACCAGAGTTCAGCCGCTCGCTCGCTGCAGCTCGACGCTTCACGCGGAATTACGTCTCGTTAACGCGCATCACTTTACAACGGAGTCTCGAGTGCTCGGCGACGATCTTGTTCTACCGTCGCGGTAATTCTACTTAGGGAAATTGCGTTTCCCGGCGAAACGCGTCGTTTTGCAGCGAGACGACGGGGACACGATCGTCGTCGTCTGTTTTCAGCGCGGTTTCCTCGCGCGTCTTCGCGCGTATACGGCGCGGCGAAAGCCGCGCGCGCGCCGCGCGCGCGGCATTCGCGGCGGAATTTCGCTCCCGATCGCCGTGATTATATCGTCGCGCGCGCGCGAGACTGCGTGACACTTTTTCTGCCAGGGCGAATTATGTTCTGATAAAAAAGGAGGGAGGAAAAAAAGCACGTAAATCCCCCTGGTAGCGAGGATTTCACGTTACTGCTGCAGGGCTGCTGTTGGCGACAGCGACGCGCCCGAGGTTACGAAAATAAAGTCGGCGGCGGTTGCGCTCGCGTCATGAAAAATATTTGCGCGTGTGCCGAATCAAGTTTTATTTGCGAACGATCGGTGGGCGGCGGCGAGTTAACGACCCGACCGGCGTTTAGGAACCTCTCCTTTTGCTTTTTCCATCAAGTTGTCGCACTGCGTGCGCGCGCGCGCGCGCGCAAAGGCTGTGAGCTCTGGCGCGCAGCTGATCAATCGAGAATAACGTTGCAAATCGATTTCCGTAATGTCGCGTGTGCATTTAATGCGCGAAATAAGAAACAGCTGTTGCAAACGGCGCACAGTGCGACTCGCGGTCGGATTGCCGGACGTTACTGCTTCGGTTACTTTGCTATTCGAATGTAAAGCGACTTCCGGAATTCGATACCGTGACAGCCGAGTTTTCCAGGGCCTCGACAACGAGCACAATCGTTCTCCGCGCATTGTTCTCCGGCTCGATGATGCGAAGCGCGCGAGCGCGCGGAGATATATGATTTTTAACATGCGATCATTCTCTCTCTCTCTCTCTCTCTCTCTCTCTCTCTCTCTCTTCGATCCCGTGCGAACGTATTTACGCGCGATATACGATCCACGGGATTTATCGGAGGTAGTCGTCGACGACGCTGCACGTCGCCGATTCGCACTCGCGAAAGGCCAGAGGCTCGAGGAGTCGCGGTCCTTTTTCCGAACGCGGGAGGAACTACGGCAGGCATAAATATCCGTTATCGAAGATAACTTCGCGCGGAGAGAGTATAGTCGCAAGATTTGGAACGCGCGCAAACTCCGTGACTATCTCCGACGACGCGCCGGCTGAATTATTCACGAGCCCACCCGTAAAAACCGACAAATCGCGACGAGTGCAATTCGACGGAATCGCCGAGGCGGCGAAGGGAGCGCTCGCGCGGGGCAGAGAGCGGCGAGGAGAGGAGAGGAGAGGAGAGGAGAGGAGAGGAGAGGAGAAGAGACTGGAGTGGAGTAGAGTGGAGTGTGGAGTAGATCCGCGCGGCGCGTATTTCAGCCCCGGCAGAAGCGGAGTAATCCGCACAATCGTATTCTTCGGCGACGCGTGCGTCGCGCGCGGCCGCGTGGAAATATATTTCAGACGCGTCCGAGGAGAAAGCATTCGGAGCCGCGCGACGACTCCGAGACCGATGTCGGGCCGGTCACGGTATATAGTTCGCGTTCTCTCCTCGCCGCGAACGATATTATTTCTGGCACGGCACCAGCGGACACACGGCCCGATCGATCTCGTCCTCGAACGGGCGATCGCGAACGTCATCGTCGCGTGTGTACGTGTGCGTCCGTGTATGCGTCGCGCGCGATCGATCCGAGCGCGCGCGCCGCGCGTTTTCGCCGTCCTTTCGTGCCGAGTAGGGAGGGGGAGGTGGCAAGTGGGTGGGAGCGCAGGGGGAAGGGGATAAACGCGAAACACGTTTACCGAGACCCCGGAAATAATTACCGCTAAGCAGAGTCGAGTCGTCGGCAAATTGAATTGGCTTCGAGTGCCGGCACAGTTCTCTTGGCAGCCATCGTCGCCGTCTCAAATATATATATATATATATATATGTATTCGAGAGACGCGATCTCGCTGTAAATTCTACTATATACTCTCTCGCGTTAGCGCGCGACCCCGACTTTGCCAATGTTTGCAAACAAACTCTGGGTCCGCTGTGTCGTCCGCCGCGATTTTACATTCCGTCTGGCTTTTCGCCGTTCCCGAGACGCTCTCCGTTCGTTTGTTCCTTCGACCGCGCGCGCGTTCGCTGAATCGTGATTTTCGCGCGACGAAGCATCGCTTTGTGTGTCCGCCCGCCGTTTTGGCAACGGAATCCGGCTCGGACGTTGCCGTGTGTATGCAGTCTCGCGACAAGAGAGAGGGAGAGAGAACGAAACGCGTTTTACATCTCTCGCTGTTCTGATCGAGGTAAGGAGGTCTCTCAGGCAAAAGTAAGATCCTGCCTTCTCTTCGTACAGCAATGCCCCTCGGTATCGCGTGTTATATTTGCTCACGCATGCTTGTGAGAGCGGATTAGCATTGTTTGAACGCGGCAAGTGGTAATCGGTGAAATCGTTGGTGTGTATGTGTGTGTGTGTGTGTGCGTCACGTGTAATAAAGTCGGTGTGGAGTTCGCGAAGGAATATATGAATAATCTCTGCTCATTAAATCTCCGTAATCGCTTTAATCGCAATCGCAAACGAGAGAAGTGTAGAACGCGCAGGCGTGTATAATACGGTAAATAAGTCGTATATACAACGTCTGCAACAGCGGGATGAATATTCAATTAGTGAAAACAGTTTGGCGTGCTTGAAAAATGAAATAATAACAGATACGAGCGGCGAGCTCGCGACATCGCCATCGCCATTTCGGAGCGTTCGGCGGACTGTCTAGCGTAACCCGACTAATTCGATTACTATCGAGCAATTTATGCAAAGCAGCTCGCTAAACTAAGCGGACGGCGCGAACTTTACGATGACGGAATTATTTCTCCCTTTCGAAGACCGTTTTATCGCTTGTCAACCGGCAGCCGCGTCTCTTGCCGCTCGTCCGAGAACATCTTCGGAACTTTGCCGAGTTGTACAGCGAACTTTGCTCGGTCTGTCGGAATTATCATCATCTCGCGAATTATCTATATCTTCCGGGGGAAAAAAAAAAAAGAAAGAAAGAAAAGAAACATAGTCGCGGTCTCGTCGACGATAATGCGCGCGGAAACTTTCGGCGCGTCTTATCGAGCCGCGTCAGCCGGTTAATAAAAAAGCTTACGGCGGAGGAAAAGTCGCCGCGCGGGGAAGTGTTGTGTACAAGCGGCAGGTATATCGTAACTCGTCGAGAGGGTCCGTCCTCTCTCTCTCTCTTTCTCTCTCTCTCTCTCTCTCTCTCTCTCTCGTATTGTCCTCAAACGGGCTCGCGGATCGTGAAGCTTATTCGCGAATCTCTCGCGCGGAAACGGGCGTTTATCGTATTTCACGTCGTATTCGCGCGTAGAGTAGAACAGCGGCAAGGTCGCCTTCATCTCGCGATCGCACATGTGTCTGTTGTTTCCCTGGGCCGCTTATCATTATGATCATTATTATATTTCCCATGGAGAAGAGCATTCTCGCGCGCCCGAGCGCACCCAGGATGCTCGAGTTCCGTGCGGCTTCGCGTGAAAGCGGCCGCGCTCGCGCGGCACACGTGCGCGATTTCTCCTCGCTGCACGCACATTCCTTCACGGATCTATCGGCGCGAGCGCGTCCATTGGCCGACATCCAGTTTTCGGCGGCGTTCAGCAACAAGCCAGCTAAGCGCTTCCGTTGGTGGAGATCTTCGCGCGCGCGCGCGCAAGAGCGAGAGCGAGAGCGAAGTCGCGATTTAATCGATTCTCACTCGTCGACGACGGGAATTCGAACGATACGCGATCGACGTCGTCACGCGGTACGCGTGAGATAAAGTGGAGCATGAAAGAGTGTGCGAGTAACTTGTTAATCGTCGTGTCTGCCTCGCGAACTAGATCGCAGAGCCGAGACAGGCGAGCTGCATTCGCGAGCGGCGGAGTATTCAATATCGCCTGGCGGCCCTCCGAGATTTCCGCGATAAGTCTCGCTACGGGCCGGTTTGCTCTTGGCCGCGATTATACTTGGCTCGGCGCGCGGTACCGGTACCCGAAATTTCTCCGGGCCGACGTGACCGCGAAGCTCTCGCCACTCTCCGTTAGGTGCGTTAATGAGATCCGCGGAGATAAGCCGCGCGCGACC